CCACCCACACCCACACCCACACCCACCCCCACCACCCACACCCGCTAAAAGGATACATTTGAACGTTACTACTTTCTTGCATCAAACTTCATGTTTTGATATGATCTCTTTGTAGAGATAACACAGAAATGTCAGTGATCAACCGATTTCTTGAATTCTATTGAAAATATAATGAAATTTGAAAGAAAATGTCGACAATGAAGGTGGTGACGTGGTTCTACTCTTTAATCACCCATCATCATCATGCCGCACTGTCACCAACACTCTGAGAATCTGTCATGGCTTACGACACTAGAAAGCTTCATCCATCCTGTTGCTGCCTGTCACGTGGAAGGTCACATCATTTTGATCGCTATATGTATGTGAGGAGTTGAAAAGTTGGTCTGAAGAAAAAAATTCATAAACATTTATCAATCTTGCGATATCTCTGTGTTTTGTTTAGTTTACAGATGACGGATCGATGGTTCTTTGCTTAGCGAATTCATTAGTGTCTCGTCGTGGTTTTGAACCTTATGATCAATTAGTTCGCTATAAATGGTGGTTTAGACATGGATATATGTCATCGACAGGAAATTGCTTTGGTATTTGTGAAAGTACTAGAAAAGCACTTCATACATTTGAAGATCGACAAAAACAGTTCGCTCAAAAGCATAATATTCCATTAAAAGAAATCGATTTTCTATCGGATAAGAGACTTGTTGCAGATTTTCCTATCTATTGCAGCTCAGATGGAGTAGCTGATAATGGTGTACTTATGCGTTTAGCATCTGTACCTCTATTTTTCTACCGAAACCCAGAAGTTGCCGTTGGATTCTCTGGAATCAGTGGTCAAATTACTCATGGAGATAAGAAAGCCGTCGATGCATGTCGTTATTATGGAGCTCTTATTGTAGCCACCATGAACAATATAGATAAAGATAAACTTTTCAGTGAAGAATATTATTCATCTAAGATGAGGAAATAGTTTCAATACGATCCTTTAGATTTGGAAATTGCAAATATTGCCAAAGGATCATTCAAGAACGAAAAAGGGTATGATGGTGGGATACGAGGTAAAGGATACGTTGTCAATTCTCTTGAAGCTGCATTATGGGCTTTTTGGAGTACTCAATCGTTTGATGAAGGTGCTCTAGCAGCAGTAAATCTTGGTGACGATACTGGTACAACGGCAGCTATTTATGGTCAGTTAGCTGGTGCGTACTATGGCTATCATGCATTACCTCAAGAATGGCTCAATTGTGTCTATTCCAAGGGCTTCATTAAATGCTTGTGCAAATGGATTGCATATGAAGGAAGTCAACTACGCTTCGATTATTAATACACATACTAAATATTTATAGTTGAAGACACAAATACTATTTAGGTAGTATGCGTCATTTCATTTATTCTCGATTCTGAAAAAGTTATTATATCACTAAAACCTTTTTTCTAATTCAAAATTTGCAGTATCATCCTTATAATAACTCTTTACAAGCGCAGAGAATCGAAGACAATTCCGGAAAGGAGCGGGAGAAGGCAAGCATGTGGATTCAAATGACTAAGATACAGTAGTGAGTTTTGACTATATATATAGAAGGACTAAGAAAGATCTAAATGATTTTTCTGATCGTATTATTATCAATTATTGCTAGGCGTTGAAATTCGTTCACAGTAACTCTCAACTTTTGTCATTACATGGCCAATTGGAAAAGATATTTGACTTTGATGTTCATGTCTTCTGCCTCTTCTAATTGAATTATTGAATCGAAGCAACATTCTATCGATTCATCCGATACATTTTGCAATGCGAAAAACATCTAAAGTTTATTGGACACACGATGCTACAATGAACAGTTGACTTAGATTTCGCTTTTGTAAAACGCGATCAATAATGAGTGTTGAGATATACGTAGAGAAAAGTGAACCACTCTACACACTGTGGCATATCCCATGAGATGAAAACCGAAAAAAACGATGGTTTACCGCGGTTTTACTAGCTATTTAGAGCAAAAACTCGGTTGATTTCTCCGGTTAACCGGCGATTTTTGCCGATAAACCGCAGTTTACTGCTAAAAGTGATCTGGTTTTTGTGCATGGAATAGACAAACTAGCGTCACAGATTGACACATATATTGTGAGGGCGTTTTCAGCATATCTGTCATAGTATGCGATGCTTTCAAAGACTTTTCGATGGTTCACGTGTTATTACTCCAAAATACTGCGATTGACTTGAGAGCGTGGGTGTGAGTGTGGATGGGTGTGGGTGTGGGTGTAGGTAGGTGTGGGTGTGGGTGTGGGTGTGAATGTGGGTTGATCTTCTATCCTCTCACGCCCGCACCTATACCCACCGACACCCACACACATCCACGCCCCACACACGCACCCGCCCACCCACACCCACACCCACACCCACACCCCACACCCACACCCACACCCTCAATAGTAGCACTTGAGACCCAAGGGTACCCCCAATAATAGGACTTGAGGACCCAAGGGTTCCCCCCAATAGTAGGACTTAAGGACCCAATGGTACCCCCAATAATAGGATTTGAGGACCCAACGGCACCCCAATAGTAGCACTTGAGACCCAAGGGTACCCCCATTGCTACCACTTAAGGATCCAAGGGTACCCCCATTGGTACCGCTCGAGGACCCAAGGGTACCCATATTGGTACTACTTGAGGACCCAAGGATACCCCCATTGGTACCGCTTGAGAACCCAAGGGTACCCATATTGGTACCACTTGAGGACCCAAGGGTACCCCCATTGGTACCACTTGAGGACCCAAGGGTACCCCCAATAATAGGACTTGAGGACTAGAGCCCGTCGGGTAGGACCCGGATCCGGCCGGGTCCGGGTAGGGTCCGGGTCCAAAAATTTAACTTTCATCGGGTCCGGGTAGGGTCCGGGTCCAAAAATTTAACTTTCATCGGGTCCGGGTAGGGTCCGGGTCCAAAAATTTAACTTTCATCGGGTCCGGGTCCGGGTCTGGAAATTTTCTATAAAGCGGGTCCGGGTCTAAAGCAATTTTTCATGCATATGTTATTCGTGTTCAATAGGACATGTTGCTTTGGTCTGAGATACAGATAAGATCGGGTCCGGGTAGTGTTCGGGTCCAAAAGTTTTCTATTTACCGGGTCCGGGTCCGGGTCCGGGTCCGGTTCCGAATTTTTTTTATAGATCGGGTACTGGGTCACGAAAATTTCAACAAAGAGGTTCCGGGTCCGGGTCCAAAAATATTGGACCCGACGGGCTCTATTGAGGACCCATGGGTACCCCCGAACAGTAGCACTTGAGGACCCAAGGGTACCCCCAATAATAGGACTTGAGGACCCAAGGGTAACTTCCAATAGCAGGACTTGAGGACCCAAGGGTACCTCTCAAAAATAGGACATGAGGACGAAAAGGTATCCCGCAATAATAGGACTTGAGGACCCAAGGGCACCCCCAATAGTATGGCCGTTACCCCGCTCGTCGATAACTGGTAACGGGCCGTTACCGTTACCTGGGAACGGTAACGGTAACTTCCCACCCCTAATTATGGATACCTGCTTTATATCAAAATATAGTTTTTAACATAAACTACTATGCAAGTGAACCGGTAACCGCTCTGAACCGGTTACCGGTTCAACTGTTACCGGTTCAGATCGGTTACCGGTTCATACCGGTTACGGGTGTGGGTGTGGGTGTGGGTGTGGATGTGGGTGTGAGTGTGGGTGTGGGTGTGGGTGTGGGTGTGGGTGAAGTGTGTGGGTGTGGATGTGGGTGTGGGTGTGGGTGTGGGTGTGGGTGTGAGTGTGGGTGTGAGTGTGGATGGAGTGTTAGTGTGAGTGTGGGTGGGGTGTGAGTGTGAATGTTAGGCTGAGTGTGAGTGTGGCTGTGAATGCAGCTGTGTGTGAGGTGTAAGTGTGGATGTGGGTGTCGGTATGGGCGTATTACAAAAGTAGACGCACCCACGTCTACACCCAAAACCGTACATCCGCACTCATGCGATCCATGTCTGTGCCCCACTCTCACCGCCCCCACACCGATATCTAGAACCGCACGCACACTCGCAACCACACCCATACCCAAACCCTATATGCACACCGATGCGATCGACACCCGAACACCAACACCTATTCCACGCAGACTCATACTTACAGCCTGAAAAGTAATCATTCAATGTCCCGTTTCTGATTACTAATGCATCTAAGGCCTGTTCTATATATTGTTTCAATTTTAGTCAGCTTAAAAAGGCTGTATTTTCAAGTTTACTTCGTATCAAATTTCACAATATCAACAGTTTTACTTCTTGTACGTATAAAAAGCACGTTGTTTTTCATCAGGTTCTCATATTTTCATCGATTTACTTTTTTTCTACGCACGGAAACATCATTACAATAATGATGCAGTGGACAACATTGCTACTCATTCTCACAGTGTCTGTTTGCTATTTATCAGTAATTTTAGCCTCTGGTGGCTGCTTGGGAATCGGTTGGGCAGGATGCAACGATTCTGGGTGCCAAAAAAAGGGTGGCTACTGCGTGAATTTCGGTGTTCGACCCAACAATGATTGTCGCTGTGTGTACGACAAGAAATAATTGCTTCACATGTACAACTGAATATTATAATCCAGCAACAGTATTCTTTTTAAAAGTAGATGAGTTTATCCGTTTATATCTATTGCTATAATCAGTAATACCCATCATATTATGTTTTTTTCTTCAATAAAATGGATAAATCAATGAAATATTTCACTTGGACAATATATTTTTAAGCGGTGCCACGAATAATATTCATTCCGTAGGCTCTGCTCTTATTCGATCAGTTCAACTTGACACTATCGTCCAGGTATGACTACCCACCATAATGGAGGTCTGTTAGTACTTGATATACTATATAAAAAAACTATTACTTCGTAATGGAATATTGTAAGTTGATATCGATATCAATTAAACTATTCAAACAAGTAATGAGTTTAGATGCGCTCTAATAGAACATTTTGTATGTTTACCTAATCACAATGCAATGCGTCATGATATTTTGAACAGAGGACGTAAATATTAAATATTAAGAAGCTGATCAATTGCAATTTGGCAACCATGACTTCATATTTGCACTTTCTGAAGTACGCGAAACATTTCTCCAGCAAAAACTGCAATGATAAGTGATAAACTAGAAAAAAAGAAATTTTCTACTAATAATATTCTTAATAAGATCAATCAAGGGTGTGGGTATGGGTGCGTCTACTTTTGTAACATACTGACACCTACATCCACGCACCACCGTTACATTGATTACCTCCAAGTTGCATGAAACTTCCAGGCTTGGTAGAGTTCAGCCCCATGTAACCATTTTTAGGATTAGTGACGCGTTTCCGAGCGTTTGTGCAATATAACGTGACGCGTTAAAACGCGTCCAAAATGCAACATTTTAGGGCGTTCAAACGCGTTTCATTCAATAAACGCATCTACACTGGTTTGAATTCGTGCGTTTAATTTATTCCCAAAAAAAATTCAAAAATAATCATCACCCTATATTGGAATCGAACCGGCGCACCATAGCGAGCTATGATATAAGACTCAAATCCTGTCAGCGACCGAATGGTAATTTTTCAGCGACAACTTGAACCGAGATTTGAACACGCGACCAACTGATTGCGAACCAAGCACAACTAGCTCTGAGCCATCCATGCCTCGAAAGTGTTTCTATATCATTGAACCAAATGAATAATTCTTTTTTCTCTCTTTAATATAAGGTTTCACAATGGAGATATTGTGATTTATCTTTACTTCGTGAAATAATTATAAATAAAATATTTATATTTATAATATCCATAAAGTAGAAAATTTACATTTATGAAATAAAAATGAAGATTTTAAGATTTCAATTTTAAAAAATGAAGATTTTTTTATTTAGTTTTATTTTGTAAATATTATAAATATGAATATTTTATTTATGATTTATCTGTATTTCATAAAATAATCATATATAAAATAATTAAAATTTTTAATATTTATTAAATAAAATATTTACATTTTCAAAATAAAATCCTTATCTTCATAAAATAAAGAAGATTAAGTTTCTTTATTTTTTTACAAAATAGAGAAATTAAAGAATGAAAATAGTTTATTTAAAGTTAGACAATTATACAATTTAAAAGGAAGATAATACAGTTTTCTCTGAAATATATGGAAAAAATAAAATCTTAGATTTTTACGTAAAAAAATCATCAAATTTTTATTTTCTAAAAATGAAAGACTCATTTTTTTTTACTTTATAAAACCAAATAAAAGGCCATTTATTATTATATCATTAAATATAAACAAAACTATTTGTATTAATATTATTTTTTTAAATGTAGAAAACTTATAATTTGAACAATATTTTTAATTTTTAATAATTCAAACATCGTTATATATATATTGACAATTCAACACGCATCAACTTATTTCAAACAAAAATAAAAGGATATCTTTTGTCATCTATTCAACAAAAAATAGTAAATTTTAATTTAAAAAGATCGGCTTGTTTTTTGCATTCCTTTTTTTCCAAATAATGCCAATAAATATTCAATATATTTTGATTAACACAAATTAGAAATAATAAACAAAAAGCATTTTTAGCGGCTAGTAAATAGCTTCTTTTAATTGTTGAGTATATTTCTAAACGCATGAAAAGGTCTGGAGTAGACCAACGCGTTTCGAACGAAAATAAAAACGCATGTGTACGCGTTTGTCTCAGTTTTTGCTATCAAGCTCGTAATGCTCTTTAAACGCGTTCAAACCGAACGCGTTTCCATTATTCTTTAGTACGAAAACGCGTCGAAACGCCGGCATTTTCAATAAAAACGCGTCAGAACGCCAATATTTTCAACAGAAACGCATCTAGTCGCGTCCATTGTGCGTTTCGTGGTTACATGGGCAGTGCCATTGAACAAGATATTTCCATAACAAGCATAAATGTATCGAGATTTCGTAACAGAGTATTATTTCTGTTTAAAGTTGGTTGAACAAGTGTAGTAGAACGCGGTATAAAAAAGAAGATCACCGATTGTTGAATATAAATAGCTCAATGCTTCATCAGTTCACAGAAAAATAATGAAGTGATCGTCCATAAGATCCATTGCATTGTCAATTGTGACTGGTTTGGAAATTGAAAGATCATTGAGTGGCGATTGCTGCAATAGTCGATACTTATGTAGATGTACAATGAAACATGAAAGAACAATAATGACGGTCAATTTGATCTGGCTGAGATCGAAGATAACTGACGAATAAGACAATGACCATCATATGACCCTTATGATGTAGGAAATGCACTATATATAGTGTTGCGTACGTATCTACGGTTGGTTTCTCATTACGGAAAGGGTAATACCCTAAACCCACTCATATCCCTCAACTTCTAAATACATAGTTCATTTTCTGTAAC